TACCCTTGACTTGAATGGCCTGCGGCCGGTGATAGCGGTCGCGCTTAGGGCCAGATGACGTCAGAGGGCAGGACTGACAACGCTCTCGCCAGAAAAATTCTGCTCTTGACCTGGAATTTTACGATATCGGGATGGAGCCAAGGCTCACACAACAAGCACCGCTAAGCGCGGGTTCTGATTCGAGAAATTAATCCATTCGATGGGTTCGGACCAAATTTTACAAGAAGGCCCAGTTTGGCAAATACATGACCCTGATGCTAACCATGCATCATTACGAATCAAGTTTTAAAAATAACTAGATGGGAGGGATAGATCTAACACGACGAGCCTACCGTTCCAGTATCGCATATGGTAATTTGACGCAAATTTGCAGTCCATTGGCCGATAAACATTTACCACATTGATAATTGAATCGACCTGATCACAAGGCACGAGCTAATGCCCTTGATGCACGTACTCTTCCCTGCTCTGGTCCTCCCAGCTACATCATCATTGACTTCGCGCGTAATGTCACATAGACTGATGCCCGTCGCCCGATACAGGAGGAACTGCGGAGGGAGGAGGGCGGGGGGGGGGGGGGGGAACCATAGCACATCGCAGAGCGATGGGAAACACGTTAACTCCCACCTTTTTTATTTTGTGTTATTGGCATCAAACTTGAGACTAGTGACTGTTAAATGTAACCATGCATCTACACCGACACTCATTTGGGGCTCCTTATATTTCGCATCGTTTCTTACAATAACATTTGACGTAATAATGTAGATATCCTGGTGCAAGGGTCCTGTTGAAAAAAAAATGTACCTACGAGCACACCGATCCTATGCCACCCCAAGAGCACGCGGCGTTCGGGTATCTCTGGGACTGGAGCACCCACGCGCAAGTAACCCACAAGCCACCCTGCTGCCATACATATGGAAGCTTACCAGGCGGCAGTGCCATGCATTTTAATGACGTCATTGGCGGCGAAGCGTCGCAGGTCTTATTGAATCGCTGCTGGGCGCCTGATTCATGCGGGTTTAATGCATCGAGACCGGGGGTATAAAGATAGCTGGTTACATATCGGGCTGCCGGATTCGGGTTTCGACCACAAATAGACCCGGGTGGGATAGCCTGCGGTGGACGCGAGCGTGATCGGCGTTGCTGAAGCCCTGGTTGAAGCTTGAAACTGTGCTGTAGCATGCGCTCCTGAACTGATTTGGCCGTGGTAGTACAGTGGCACGCACGCACGCACGCACGCACGCAAGCACGCACGCATTATATATATATATATATATATATATATATATATATATATATATATATCATTTGATATAGATATATATTAGAAATATATATATAGTATATAGTTATATAATCACGATGGAAAATTATTTTTACATCTTGAGTGAATGGGAAGGTTTAAATGGCGGTGACATCGCAACGTGGCAGAAACACGCCGCCTGATTACAGAAGCAGCACTTAGATAGGCTGCAGTGACCAATGAAAATATGACACCACAACTTTTAAAGAACTGTGGTTTTTTTGAGAGCTTCGTGCCGGAGCGATCAATGGCGGAAAATACATACGTCTGTAAAAGGCATGACAGGCATATATATATATATATATATATATATATATATATATATTATATATATATAAAAGAGAGAGAGAGAGAGAGAGAGAGAGAGAGAGAGAGAGAGAGAGAGAGAGAGAGAGAGAGAGAGAGAGAGAGAGAGAGAGAGAGAGAGAGAGAGAGAGAGAGAGAGAGAGAGAGAGAGAGAGAGAGAAGAGAGACAGAGACAGAGACAGAGACAGAGACATAGACAGACAGAGACAGAGACAGAGACAGAGACAGAGACAGAGACAGAGACAGAGACAAGACAGAGACCAGAGACAGAGACGAGACAGAGACAGAGACAGAGACAGAGACAGAGACAGAGACAGAGACAGAGACAGAGACAGAGACAGAGACAGAGACAGAGACAGAGACAGAGACAGAGACAGACAGAGACAGAGACAGAGACAGAGACAGAGACAGACAGAGACAGAGACAGAGACAGGACAGAGACAGAGACAGAGACAGAGGACAGAGACAGAGACAGAGACAGAGACAGAGACAGAGACAGAGGACAGAGACGAGACAGAGACAGAGACAGAGACAGAGACAGAGACAGAGACAGAGACAGAGACAGAGACAGAGACAGAGACAGAGACAGAGACAGAGACAGAGACAGAGACAGAGACAGAGACAGAGACAGAGACAGAGACAAGACAGAGACAGAGACAGAGACAGAGACGAGACAGAGACAGAGAGCAGAGACAGAGACAGAGACAGAGACAAAGACAGACAGGAAAGAGACAGAGACAAGAGACAGAGACAGAGACAGAGACAGAGACAGAGACAGAGACAGAGACAGAGACAGAGAGGAGGGGGGGGGGGGAAGGTCGCGCCCCGCCGGGCCTCTGAAGCCATTACCTTTCCGGTTAGTTGACTTCAAGACTCCCTGGACTCGCAGCTTCGCTGGTAATTAACGTTCTGAAGTGGCTCTCATTACCATCTAAATAGGTGGTGTCTGCTTTCTTCCGGGCTACAACACAGGGTTCTCTAAAAGCAAGCAGCATGCAACACGGCTTCAAGAAGTTTCAGCAGACTGAGGTGCCGGTTAAACACCTGGCTTCTATATGATCCGCATCATACGATCCATTTACGTTATTTAGTGTTCTTCATCGTGAGAAGATGATTTGTTATGCATGAAGTGGTAAGCGCTGTGCCATGTTAGTGAGTGTCCTGGAGACTTATTGCGTTACAGTTTGCCCCTTCTCACACCAATCCATTCTTCTCTTCCTCCAAAAGAATACGTCTAGGCTCCAGGCACCCTCACGTGAGTGAGTGAGTGAGTGAGTGAGTGAGTGAGTGAGTGAGTGAGTGAGTGAGTGAGTGAGTGAGTGAGTGAGTGAGTGAGTGAGTGAGTGAGTAAGGATGAGTTTCGGCTGTAAAAAGATCCTATACTGTATATTCGGCGTGCACAACGTACAACTACATTCCCACGTTCACATTCAAGGCCCGAGCTGTCAGCCCCCCCCCCCCCCCCCCCACCGCCCAAGACTTTTAAACGAACCGAGAATCTTTACCTAACGGATCAAACACCCGTCACAATACACCTTGCGTAACGGCAAAAAACACAATACATGAACAATACACACAAAATACAAATAACAAATACATAATCCCCAAACCCCAGTTAATCTGAGCCAGAAATTTTTAAAGCACCTTATCCGGCCAAACAGCCATCAAGCAGCCTTAAGTTCTCCCGCGCCCGCCGACCCATGTCGAACCAAAGCCCACCAATAACTTCGTGAAGCAAAACTCCCCCATAGTTCTTCGTTATCTGCCGGAATCGCAGGAGGTCGGGATGATGGGTACGCCGGAGCTGACAGGGCCGGACACGGAACTGTGATGGACAACAGTTCTGTGAATCTCGCAGCGGACGTGGAAGGTTCCATGGAAGTGCGCCCCGGTGGTTATGGCCATCGTCCATCAGACAACTTTGCCTCAGAATGTCGACGGCACTTCGTCTTTAGGGGCGCTCGATGACATCCACGTCCACGTCAGTGGCATCCTCGTCCACGTTGGTCCAAGTCAGTGGCATCCTCGTCCACGTCAGTCCACGTCAGTGGCATCTACGTCGGCTGTCGTTCCCTCGAGTTTCGCTGATCTGGGTGCTCGGATCGCTTTGGCAGGCCGGAATGGACGCGATCAAGTGAAAGCGCGAGGTGAAACATTTTTTTTTCTCTTCGGCGCATATGTACATAATGCAGCGACGTTTTCACTGGATGAATGCAACCGGATGTGACTCTAGCCAGAAATACCGGACGTCCGGCCTACATTGCCATGCAAGGCGTCCGCTTCCTCCCGTTCAGTCATCTGGTAGCATTCAGTCAGCAGTTGCTGTCATTTAGCACTATACTGAGGGGGAGGGGGATGTAAATTCCTCTTGATTCAGTGGTTCCAAGAATCGATACAGCTGTTGCTGGGCGATAGGCTACTTAGATTGGGCGAGTGACTTGCAGGAATGTTATTGTTAATGATATGTTATTACATTCTTGGACTTCGACATCGGACAACACTACAACTGAAAATGTTGATCGAAATGTGGTTGCTAACAGCAATCAAATACGGGAACCGTTATGGGTAACAGGATTGCGCATTCTACGCAACAAGGCCTAACCGCAATGCTTTTTACCCAGCAATGACCTGAAACATTAGGGTGAACGAAATACCGAGGTCGGAAACGAGACGGCGGAGAAGACAAACATATTGGCCATTGTTTCAGATCAAATGCATGGTTCAGCACAACGTGTGCGCCTTGTGAACGTCTCGGTGTTCCATTGCGATTCCCATAGCTGCAGATGCCACAGTCACCGCGCGCGACTTCTTTAGCCATCGATTGTAAATCGAACAAGAACATGCATAAAAACTCCCTAAACCACTGATGAAGATGGACGAACCGCATCAGGAAGAACGGAGCCCTTCTCACCAGCCTACGGCGGATGCGGGCAGGAGCGTACAAAGAGCTCGAGTGGCGGGGGGAAGAAAGAGACAGGTATCGATTTCTGCCATAGCATGGCTTCACTCACAAAAACGGTGGGATTCATCCGCCTAGAGCTCACCCCAAAATTCGATTCGTCTCGTCTCACTGTCCAGTACACCATGACAAATCCTTGGACGCGCTGCTGCGGGGCGGCGCCACGGCGGCTGACGGGGCCGGCCTAGTTCCAAATCTCGCCGCTAGGTGTTCATGACATGCTTGCAAGGCCGATTCTGAGTCGGAAAATGACGTACGGTATATTTTGTGAACGGTAATCCGTGGGCAAACTCATATGCTAGTGACGGATAGAACAATCAGGTGGTGAGCCATGCACAACGGCCCAGAATTTGGTTTAAACATACATAACTAGGACGAACGACCGATGAACCTTCAGTTCTATAAATACATCCATAACCACCCGGGACCCTCGCCCAGATGACCATCGGTGGTCCGGTGTGCAGGCTTCAAACCTGTAGGCGACTAGCGTCGCAGTGGTTCAATTCCACCTTCTGGGCGTCGCGAGTTTTCAGCCCGGCTCTTACCCACTGTGCTGGGACGAGCGCGGCTTGTTCCTCCACCACTTCACGAAAATATTTGTACTGTTTATGCGCTAACCGCAACAGTGGATGGCCCAACCGAGCCTCTCCGCCCGAAACCTCGATATTGCACTGATGCGTTTGTGTAACATGTGCGCATCCCTGTGTAACAAGCGCGCATCCCTGCTGTCTGACTGAATCAGACGTCCTCAGTGCAGCATTGACATTCAACAGCGAAAACCACCCATAAGCATTCAAACTTTCAACAGAGAACGCGTGAATCTATTCAGCGTAAAAACACATGTTATGCTGAGAGGAAACCCCTTCATACAGCTTAAATCATTCCTAGTATAAGATTGAACTCTAAAAATATACGCTAATGCGCACAAAAGTAAATATATCTTATATCCGACGCATGCGTACCTGGCCTATTTACAAAAACCCTAAGACCGTTAATCACCAGCAAGTCGCATTTATAGCCCATCATTCACTGACACTAAACGTTCATTGCGTGTCAAAGTTTGTTTATATATCCTGCTCTGCACCTAGGGCACGGTGACGTCACTACTACGCCTCATTTCCTTGGCGCCGAAGCGCCGTAATAGCCCCTTGACATGGGCTCGCTACTTCTCTAAGATCCGCGCCATGCCAATGGCAACGGGATTGGTAAAGATGGCGGCCATCCGAAGCAAGCACCCGCGCACGCTCCTTTCATCGATATATCTACAACATGCGGTGGTGCACGGAGGCGCACTCAAAGGGGGACGGGTGGAAGGGGAGGGGCGAAAGTTTTCTGAAGGGGAGGGGCGGAATTCAGTGAGAGCTCGTCAGGATGATGATTAACTTTGTCATCATGAGCCATCTCTGCTGCTATAATAAAAAAAATGTGAACCAAGATGAAAAAAGGCGGGGCGGTGGAAGGGCGCGGAGGGCTGAGCAGATCCCCCCCCCCCCCCCACCACCACACACTCCAATTAGCTGCGCCTCCGGTGACACACCTTCGGCGCCGGGCGAGTCCTGAATGCGCATGCGTGTATGATGCGGTAGCCCGTCCGTGCTGCCTCATTCGCCTCAGCAACGGTATCTATTCACTTGGCGCGATCCTTGGCACGTATCAGTCAAAAGAGGGCTGCGCCGACGCACTTACGTAAGACAGTCATCGCCGTTGGCACCGAAACTGTGCTTATCGCGCGAAGCCAGGCGGCTTAGCGAACAGTACGTCTACTAACAATAACCGCCCACAAGTAGACCTCGCTTTGCTGCGCCTAATCAGCGTATGAAAGCACGGGACGCATGAGCTTCTGTCGTGCTGGAACCGAGACGCTGCACCTCTTTTGCACTACATGTGTAGCAGTCCCACTACCAGCTGTCATACATTATCAGGTGGGGGAAGAAACAACCCCGCGTCGTAGAGTACGCATAAGTATGGCTGTGTCGTCGGGAGTTCGAGAGAGCAGCGGCAGAGGTTAACTACACCCCATGCATCAAAGGAGCCTGGCTTTCCCTCTTTAAGCGTAGTCCTCGGGGCGCTGTTGCAGCACTCGTAATCCGTCATCACAAAGACCGCTGTCCTAGTTTCGCCCTTGCACTTCGCCGTGGCATGTGGGACTTATGACAACATGAAGCATCGCCCCCCGTCCCCCCCCCTCCCCCCGTGACGTATTTGCCGCCAGTGCCACAGCATTTTGAATGCACGATCATAATTGAAATGTTTTCCGTTCCGTCAAAACCAAACGCACCTTGTGAAACACAAGTAAGCAAATCGTCGCAGCATCTCCGACACCCCCTGACGATTGCCGCATTCGAGGCGGCGAAAACGACAGCAATAATATACCTGCGAGAAGTGGGGTTTTCAACTTTACGTACAGTGCCGTAATGCAGCTATTGCAAATATCGCATGATGTATTCGCGATTCGAAAGCCACCACAATGAACGAGCGACTGAGCGAGGTTACGCGTTGCTCGTCTGCTTGCTTGGTGACGGGGGACCCCCTCCCCGTGCATGCTGATTTCTCTGCGCCTGGTGTCGGATCGTTGATACCAAATCTAGAGAGATACTGCGACAAAAACAACACCGATGCTATGTTTGCACATCCCGTCGACTGCGCAGTGTTCAAGACGGCAATTCTGTGCCGTATCCGTAGCCCACCAAGTGCATGGTGAAGTGGTGTCTCGCTTTTTAAATCATCAAGTAACAAAAACGATGAGAATTTTAAGAAACAAGAAACAAGAAGCAAGTTGAAATTCTATATTGCCAGCACCGCAAGTGGACAGGCCGCGAGGACACTTGCAGATTTCTGCGCGCCGCAGGTCCAAAGTACAGCATCGAGGCGAGGGTCGCTTGACCTCAGGGACCAGGGCGGTCCTGGGTCATTGAGTTCGTACCGAAACAAGTGGTCACTTGCACGCCAATCGAGACTATCTCGGCCAGCGCACGGGGCCGAACGGCAAACCAAACGCCCAGGGAGCTCAAACGGCGTTGGGGGGGGGGGGGGGAGAGCTTTGTTCACCACTTCAGCTTTAGTAAATACGCAGTGGTAGTGGCGCACCATAATAAGGACAACATCGGACTGAAGCCACGGCCGTAGCATTGGGAAGTTTGATTGCATTTGAAGGAGCATCGCAACTGAATAGGCACCGATGTTTTTAGCAATTGTTGGGCAATTGTTGGGCATGAAATGGGCAATTGTTCTATGCACAGAGCAAATGCCGTATTTTTACAATATTGTCACCGCTTCCGTATTTCCCAGTATGGCTGGAATGCGTAAATCATCGCCCAGCCATTTATCAAAACATGCACACAGCTGCGCATTTGGTAACTCTTCAACGCCAGGAGCGACAACGTAGGGGCTTTGTTCTATCAGACCAGTCACTGTGTGACTTTGTTTACCCACCCAGATAGGCTAACCAAACTGGTTTGTGATTGAATGGGTCAATACGTCCGTCTAGTAAAGTGTTGCAGTGTAAGATGTATTAAGCTGTGAGCCTTGTTCCCCTTCAGATCAAAAGTATTCAGAAGCTGTGTGTAACAAGCAGCATCTAGTCACACATACCAGCTTTCTTAGGACAACTTAATATTAATATTAATAGAGTTGGACAACTTATTCGGATCCCTACATTATCACAATGCACATATCAACTGTTTAACGACGCAGCATTACTTGCAATACGCAATGCCACATCATACGATGCATACTGATGATCCGATACTGCATCGCTACACTAGGCCACCACCAAAACTTGGTCACAACAGCACGCCGTGGAATACATGGCCCCCGCCCGCCTTGCCTGGCGCGTGAACAAAGCACAGCTTCCACAACAGCAGCGGGTTTCCATACGTACGGGTGATGACTGGCAAGCATATGCTCCATTTCATCATTAATGAGACGAACCTCCGGCGAGTTCTGGCCTCTGGTCCAGACGCGTGAGGGTTAATTGACGTCTATGTTTATTGGGCGACGGAGCTGATATACGCAGCTAAAATTACCCACAGGAAATGACTTTTTCGGGTTTGCCGGCCATTTCAAATGTTCGGAGAACTCCAAAGATTAACTGGAGCGTAAGGATTAACAATTTCCGGTGGCCGAAAGGTCTCAGTGAGCGGCCATGCCTTGGAAGATCAGTCTTATCGGCAAACGTTCCAAATGGACATAGTCTTACGAGAAACCACTCTGGTGAGACTTACGTCCAAAGTGCCTTAATGTGTATCATAGTCTTTAAGACTTTCAACGTACCGACCACCGACAACCATCCACACCACTGAATAGGTTTGGTCCCTCTGAGGCCATCTCCAGCCTCCCGAGAGAACCGTCGACAACCGCATCACCACCATCACCATCGCCAAGCCACCATCATGGACCGCCCTCAGTCGATCTCCAGCTTCCTGAACGACCCCTCGATGCCGAAGAGGTCCGCCGCCGACTTCTGCTTGCCCTGACGTAGCGACTCGTCCACGCCGTACTTCAAGGCGTCGACGAAGAACTCCCTGTTGGCCTCGACCCGCTTCACGACGTCCGCGGCCAGCACGTCGATGCTGGCCAGCGTGCCGCCGTACTCCTCCGGCAGACACTCCGGGGGGATCGCCTCCAGCAGCGATGCCTGGTTGGTGCCGTGCACCCAGATCCGCTTCCGTAGCTTCTCCTTCATGAACGACTTGAAGAGGCTGAGCACCGGGTCCATGCCGGCCGGATTGTTGTAGTAGTGCATGCCCTTCTGGCGGATGGGGAAGGCGTCCCAGCAGGTGACGGCCTTCTTGACGAGCGTCGGCGTCATCGCAGCGGCGTGGGAGAGGGTAGCGTCCTTTAGGTCCAACACGCCGACAAACCCGCACACCTGGGCCCCCTCGTCCTGCTCGGCCAGCAGCGAGGAAATCATGTTCGAGACGCGGAACATGGACTCCTGGCTCATCCTGCAACACGGCAATACGGAATTTAACGTAGAAAACCATCCTGGAAAGCCCTGCGGGATTGCTCAGATGGAGAAGACATAGCGACTACGAACGTAAGTTTAAGTATGTATCATGATAACCTGCTCCAGTCTGTCGGAGGATTCCACATACGAATCGCAATAGCATGTGATGGCACAGGTTATGCGAGGAAAACTAATTAATTAGGTATTAAATGCTACTTTGAGTTGGTTAACCTGGCCTCACACGAGCAGTAGAAAATACTCAACATATGCGCCACTTGAAAACTAGGAAACATATAACACAAAGCACACGCCACAGAGTTGCGATTGTACAGCTGCCTTTAGCAGGATCCATCAGTCACCAAGAATAACATATCAGATGGACTACGTATTTTCCATACTCCCATACACTACAATGAATAAAGTCACTGCGGCTGCAATGAAAAAAAAGAGTGCTCAGAGCGCTTTGGGAACAATAAATGTCAGAACACAGATACCATGACGAGAAATGACGCTTCAGGCAATGATCAGTGGACGCTAAGAACACAGGACTGTATGCGTACCGATGCGCCAA